CCACTTTGGCTTTGAAGCTGCCGCTGATACTGGCATTTGTAGACGGGGTCGGACGGCCGAGAGGTCTAGGGACGGAGGAGGGAGGAGAGAGGGAGAGAAGAGAAAAAGGAGAGGGAACGGCCAAGGAAAAATCGAGAAAAGGCGAGGAGAAAGAAGAAAGAAGGAGGGGGGAGCCACGGGAGGGTGGGAAAGGCAAGGGGGATAAGGGGAGCGGAAAGATGGGCGCGCGAAAAAAAGTGGGGATAGAGCGAGAAAAAAGCAGGCCAGGCGAAGGCGGCGTTGAGCCAAAGACCGCCGCGCGAGGACCAGGGGCAGGACAGGGGTGAATGGAGGAGGGGGGGAATGGAGGGAGAAAGGACGCGGGGACGGCCCAGAAGGCCCGAGGAGCAATGGCTAGGCAAGAAGCGAGGCCCGAAGGAGAAGGGGTGGTGTACGTAGTTGAGGCTAGGCCGTACCATGAATGAAAACAAGGAGCGTTAGAAGGAAGAAATGAAGGATAAGAAAGCAGAACAGGGAAGTGCATTTAAAAAAGAGGGAAATAAGCCAATGGAGCTTAGAAAAGAAATATTTTTATATTTAACTCAAAATCAAAAAACTAAATTTAACTATAAAATAAGAAGCAAAAAGGCATTGAGGGCGACCTAAAAATGGATATTATAAGACCTATTGGTTAATTAAATTTTTAATGAAACCAAAAAGAGGGATCACTGTTAATGAGCAAATGAGAAATTTCTCCAATTAAGGAAATAACGAAATTCAAAGAGAAGCTTCTAACTTAATCTTAAGCGATGAAATTTCGTTGTATTTTCTAGTATAGTTTTAGAAAAACATTACATTCATGTAAAAGAGGAGGCCCGTTCCGATAATATTTAAAATAATTTCTATTCCTTAGTATCTTCAAGACTAGCTCTATTATAAGCTATTTAAATAAATATTAAAAAACAATAATCATAAAATTAAAATAAAATACAATTTTAAATAATTATAAGAAAAAATTTGAATAAAATAGAATAATTAGTTAAAAACTTTTAGATTTTTTCCCCCATAATATTCAAATCAACCTTGATCAAAAATTTTATACAATTTTCCTAAAAATAAAGGATAAAAATTTACCCCTAAAGTGAAATAACTGGTATGTTTCATATTATAGCTAAAAAATAGCTAAGAATTAAATATTTAATCTTTTATAGAATAATTAATTTAAATTTAGCTAACTCGTAACCCATAAATGAACCTCTTATAATTATTAATAAAGTTATAATTTTTAATAAAAAAGGAAGGCAAATAAAAACAGGTTCATTAAATGTCAGTCATCTAAGAATTCTCCCACTAAAATTACAAATATAATTAAACCTCCCATACCTTTTAATATTAAATATCCAAATTCCCCAATCCATGTAAAGATAAAAAATTAAAATTCCCAATTAATGTATAATATATTATCGAAACCTATAACTCACAGTTAAACCAATAGAAATAATAATAATTATATAATATAAATACTTAAATAATTCATAGACATGAATTCTACAACTAAATCTTTAGAATAAAACCCTGATAAAAAGGGTAATCCACATAATGAAAAATTACAAATATTAAAAAACACAAGTTAAAGGTATTGCTCTTAATAATCTACCCATTAACGAATATCTTGACAACTTCCTAAATTATGAATATATTTCCAGCACATATAAATAAAAGTGCCTTAAATAAGCATGAGTCAATAAGTGAAAAAAAGCCAATTTGTAACCCCCTAATGCTAAAATTCTTATTATTAATCCTAATTGGCTCAAAGTTGATAATGCAATAATTTTTTCAAATCATATTCAAAATTTGCCCCTATACCCGACATAAATATTGTTATTCTAGCCATAAATAATAAAAAATACATTAAAAATTCAGATAAAGTAAAATTAAATCGAATAAGTAAATAAACCCCTGCTGTTACTAACGTTGAAGAATGAACTAATGAAGACACAGGAGTAGGGGCTGCTATAGCAGCGGGCAACCAAGAAGAAAAAGGAATTGGGCTCTTTTAGTTATAGCCGCTAAAACTACTAAATAACTAATTAATTCTATAATGAAATCATTTTTCATCAAATCAAGATAAAAAATTAATTTCAACTACCAAAATTCACTATTCAAGCAATTGCTATTAAAATAGCTACATCTCCAATTCGATTAGATAAAGCGTTAATATTCCTGCATTAAAGGATTTAAAATTTTGATAATAAATTACTAAAACATACGAAACTAACCCTAAACCATCTCAGCCTAATAAAATTGAAATTAAGTTAGGACTAATAATTAATAATATTATGTATAACAATAAACTACTAATAAATAAATCGACTTAAATAAAAATCCCCTTCTATATATTTCTTCCTATAATAAATAATAGATGAAATAAACAAAACAAATCTTAAAAATATTAAAGATACAATCTAATATAATAATTATCACAATTAACTAGAATTTAAAACAAATAACTCATATTCAATTAAAATAGTACAATCTTTAATAATAAAATTTAAACTAAAAAGTAAATTTAAAATACAAAAAATATAAAAATATAAAAATAAATTTGTAATTTTTATTATTTAAAGTAAAAATTTACATCTTTGTACCACAAATCAATTTTTATTATTAAACTATTTAAATAAATAAATAAAATTCATAATTCCCCCTTTAAAATAAGTAAATTTAAAGGAAACCATGTAAAAATATAATAAATATTCTCGTCTAAGGCCTTGGTACATAGAAATAAACCTGAATAAAGAACCCCGTGCTGTGAATAAGAAAATAAAATAAATAAGATGCTGCCCTAAAAAAAGATAAAAATATTAATAATACTATTCTAAATGAAATAAAAAGAAATCAACCTATTAATTAATACAATTTCCCCTAATAAATTTAAAGAAGGAGGAGCTGCCATATTAGACGAACATAACAAAAATCACCATAAAGATAAATTAGGTATAATATTAATCAGGCCCTTATTTAAATAAAGACTTCGCCTTATTGTGCGTTCATAAGTAATATTAGCTAAGCAAAATAACCCTGATGAACACAAACCATGAGCTAATATTATAGCCAATGAACCTCAAAATCCCCAAATATTTATAGTTATAATCCCTGACAATACTAGCCCTATATGGGCCACTGAAGAATAAGCAATTAAAGATTTTATATCACTTTTGACGTAAACAAATCAATGAAACAATAAAACCCCCAATTAAAGAAATAACAATAAAAATATAATTAATTTTTTAAGCCAATCTCAATAAAAAAGATATTAAACGAATTAGACCATACCCCCCTAATTTTAATATAATCCCAGCTAAAATTATTGATCCAGATACAGGGGCTTTCTACATGAGCTTTTGGCAATCATAAATGAATAAAAATATAGGTATTTTTACAAAAAAAACTATATTCATACATAAATAAATTAATAAATTTATTTGACAATTTATATATATTAATATTATAGATCTATAATTATTATAATAAAAAAATTGAAATTATTATTGGTCCGACTAATAACTAATATCATACATCCTCCCAGCTTCAATTCGCTCTGGTATAGCCCACCCTAAAATTAAAATTAAAGTGGGAATTAATCTAATTTCAAAAAACAAATAAAAAACAAATAAATTTAAAAAGAAAAAAACTAAAAATCTATTAATAAAAATAATACTATTAAATTAAATAATATAATAATATTATTTTTATAAATTTTTCCACTTGCCAATAGTATCATCCTACAAATTCAAAAACTCAATAAAATTAATGTATATCTAAGTAAATCCCCTCCCTAAAATATAAGAAATATTTAAATAAATATAATTAAAACTATAATTTATTATAATAAAAAAGATAAAATAATATAACCCTTACTAATAATCAAAAATTATAATAAAAAACAAAAAGGAACTAAAAATATTAAACTTAATAAAAATTTTATCATAAAGAAGAAAAAGTTAAAATATTATCATTTCCGTGAATGCGAATAATTGATACTAAAAAGATAAACCTAGTACACCCTCACAAACTCTCATAGTTAAAAAAATTATAGAAAAAAAAAAATTTCATAATTTATTATTTTAAATGAAATACAAAATAAGTATAAAGAAATAACAATAAATTCTAAACTTAAAAGTATTAACAATAAATGGTCCCGTTTATAATAAAAACTGATAATCCCGAAATAAATATTAATAATATAAATAAATAAATATTAGCATTAAGTTTTAATAATTTAATTATAAAATTTTGGTCTTGTAAACCAAAAATAAGATTTTTCTTTTAAGACATCAAGAAAAAGAGTACTCCCCTATCTTTAATCTCCAAAATTAAAATTTTAATTAAACTATTTCTTGAAATTATATCAATATTAATTATTTTTATAAGAACTATAACAATTATATATTTTATAAAACACCCTCTTTCTATAGGCATTATCCTCCTACTTCAAACTATTTTAGTAACCTTATTAACCGGATTAATAAATTATAATTTTTGATTTTCCTATATTATTTTTTTAATCATATTGGAGGTATACTTATTTTATTTATCTATATAACAAGGATCGCCTCCAATAAAAAATTCAAATTATCCAGATTATTATTATTAGTATTCTTTATTAGTTTAACTTTAAATTTTGTCTTTCAAGTTACAGATCAATTTTTATTTAGCCTACCTTTCTCAACAATAGATTTTTATAATCAAAATTTTTTCATCAATAATTATTTAACTTAAATAAATATTTTAATTACCCAAATAATATAGTTATATATATAATAATTATTTATTTATTAATTACATTAATTATAACAGTCAAAATTACTAAAATAAACAAAGGACCCTTACGACAAATATACTAATGAAAATAAATTTACGTAAAACTCACCCATTAATTAAAATTTTAAATAATTCTTTAATTGATCTACCAACACCCCCTCTAATATTACTACTATATGAAATTTGGATCCTTTTAGGATTATGCCTAATAATTCAAATTATTACTGGATTATTCTTAGCCATACATTACTGCCCTAATGTAGATATAGCATTTAATAGGGTGGCTCATATTTGTCGTAATGTAAGACGGATGATTAATCCGAACTCTCCACGCTAACGGGGCATCTTTTTTTTTATTTGTTTATATATTCATATTGGTCGAGGAATCTATTATAGATCTTATACCGATTAGAAACTTGAATAATTGGAGTTTACTATTTTTTTTTTATAGTTATAGCAACAGCATTCTTAGGTTACGTTCTCCCCTGAGGGCAAATATCTTTTTGAGGAGCTACAGTTATTACCAATTTACTTTCAGCCATTCCTTATTTAGGAACTCTTATTGTTCAATGAATTTGAGGAGGCTTCGCTGTTGATAATGCAACATTAACTCGATTTTTTAGGTTTCACTTTCCCCCTTTTATCGTTTCTGCTTTAGTGATTATACACTACTTTTTTCTGCACCAAACAGGGTCCAACAATCCTCTGGGAACAAAAAGTAATATTGATAAAATCCCATTCCACCCTTATTTTACTTTAAAGATATTATAGGAATACTAGTTATAACTTTTTTTTAGTATTTTTAACATTAAACACACCATATATATTAGGAGATCCAGACAACTTATTCCAGCTATCCGCTAGTAACCCCTGTTCATATCCAACCAGAGTGATATTTTTTTTATTTGCCTATGCGATCCTTCGTTCAATCCCGAATAATTAGGAGGCGTAATCGCTTTAGTAATATCAATTGCTATTCTATACATTATCCCCTTTACTAATAAAAAAAATTCTCAGAACCCAATTTTAACCCTATTAATAAACTTTTATTTTGATCAATATTCACTATTGTTATCTTACTAACTTGAATTGGAGCACGCCCTGTAGAAGACCCCATATTCTTACAGGCCAGTTACTAACTATTTATATACTTTTTTTTATTATTTGATTAATCCTATTATAAACAAAGTTTTGAGATAAAATAATCTTTTTTAATTTAGTCTATGAACTTGTATAAGTATATACTTTGAAAGTATAAAAAAGAAATAAAATTTCTATTGACTTATTTTTAGTAAATTCCTCCCATTCACTTTTAATAAAAAATAAGGACACTAAAAATTTTAAAAATAACAAGTAAAATATATTTTTTAAATTTTTTTTACGTTCTTATTTTTTATTCAAATAAATTTTTAAAAATTTTAGATAAATAATTTTTTTTTTACTTTTTTAAATTCTATATGTCCTTATTTTTTATTCAAATAATTTTTATATAAATTTTCGATAAATAATTTTTTTACTACTTTTTTAAATTTTGTACGTCTTATTTTTTATTCAAATAATTTTTTATATAAATTTTCGATAAATAATTTTTTCTACCTTTTAAATTTTACACGTCCTTATTTTTTTTCAAATAATTTTTTATATAAATTTTCGATAAATAATTTTTTACTACTTTTTTAAATTTTGTACGTCCTTATTTTTTTTTACAAAATAATTTTTTATATAAATTTCGATAATAATTTTTACTAATTTTTTAAATTTGTACGTCCTTATTTTTTATTCAAAATTTTTATATAAATTTTCGATAAATAATTTTTTACTACTTTTTAAATTTTGTACGTCCTTATTTTTTATTCAATAATTTTTTATATAAATTTTCAAAAATAATTTTTTTTACTAATTTTTTAAAATTTTGTACGTCCTATTTTTATTCAAATAATTTTTATATAAATTTTTTGATAAATAATTTTTTTTTCTACTTTTTAAATTTTACACGTCCTTATTTTTTATTCAAATAATTTTATATAAATTTTGATAAATAATTTTTACTACTTTTTTAAATTTTATACGTCCTTATTTTTATTCAAATAATTTTTTTATATAAATTTTCGATAAATAATTTTTACTAATTTTTTAAATTTACACGTCCTTATTTTTTTATTCAAATAATTTTTTATATAAATTTTTGATAAATAATTTTTTACTACTTTTTTAAATTTTATACGTCCTTATTTTTATTCAATAATTTTTTATATAATTTTCGATAAATAATTTTTTACTAATTTTTTTAAATTTTGTACGTCCTTATTTTTTATTCAAATAATTTTTATATAAATTTTGATAAATAATTTTTTTTTCTACTTTTTAAATTTTACACGTCCTTATTTTTATTAAAATAATTTGTTAAGGAAATTTTTAATAAATAATTTTTATTTCTCGAAATTTATCTAATGAAGGTATTTAAGTAGTAACTATTTAGCCTTATAATTTTTAATAGTTTTTAAATTAGTTTTTATTTTCAAAATTTCTCTAACAAAATTTTTAAGAATATTTTTTGATTAAATAATAGTTTTTTTTAAAATATTTTAAAATTAGTTTTTATT